TATATATATATATAGTTATTAATAAATTTAAAAGCTGTTCGACCAATAAAACTGAATGCTTTCAGACTAAGAGAGATGAAATACAAGTCTTCCAAGTGAGATCAATCTAATGGAAAGCTGGCAGTTCTACTATTAAAAACCTTATAAAACAATAAAAATTGACCATCTTTCGAATCAGTTCATTGCTTGCTAGACAGCAAAAGGAAAACTCGATTTCTTTTTAATTTTATATTTTACAAACAAAACTTTCCAAATCATATTGCTTTTGATCATCATAACAGTAAATTTGTTGCAAAAACATTAAAATGATAATGTTGAATCATTTAAAGATGTAGGGTCTCGTAGCGTTTGTGAGTACATACAATGCGGTAAAGATTCTATTTTTGTAGAGGAAATTTAGATGAGAGATGGATGTAAGATCCTTGAGAGGCCTCAGAGTTATTTTATTGAACTCAAGTCTACGATAAGTTTGAATATCACATGCTCGCTAAAGTGAGAGGAGAGAGAGAGTGAGAAACTCATAATACAAAAAATTTCAAAAATCTCAAAAAAGAAGACGTTCTGAGCGAGCGGAGTCTCTTTTCCCGTTAGCTTGACTTTCCTTTTATAGAAAGATGAAAAATAATTAAAAAAACATATTTAGTACAGTATGATTTCCATTCATTATGCCATGATGAAAAGGTCGTCATGCGGATGTTAGAACAAGATTTTAAAGATGGATAGGCCCAGATTCTTGTTGGTAATATGACCATCTCTAGCAATTGTATCTCTCTGGGTTGTCTACCCCCATGGGTGGAAGAGACGTGTTTAGCTACTTTGGCCGATGGGCTCTGTTCAGCTACTTCGATAGGCATGCTTGGTTCAACCACTTTGAGAGGTAGGCTCCATAATATGTGCAAGAAATAATATACAGTCGTACTTGTGCATTCAAGTAAATATTACTTTTATTTAAAAGAAATCTTATAAACAAGTTCATGACAACCTTTTGTTATAATTTTTCTTAATTTATGAAAATATTTTATTAGCTAATAAGATTTTAACTCATAATAATAATTTAAATCATGATTTTTCTTATGACGTGTAGGCTACTTGATGTTGAAATATAATCAATATTTCTAGTATTATTTCATTTAGTCCATGTGGTATCATTCGACTTAGAGTCCATTTGGTGTGGTGCTTCCGTAGCTTCGCAGTTCAAAATTATGATTCAACGTGATTGTTTATTGCATACCTTCATTTTTACATCGGGGTCATTGATCTGCAGTCGATAGTTTCACACTCATAAAATAACAAAGTTCTCCCTACAAGGGTAATATCGAGCGCACAAAGCCACTCCATTGTCAATATGATGCCATAATAATTCTTTTTTGTGGCAAGAGCTCGATTGATAGTGTTTTTCTTTGAACTCCATCATCCTCCGATACCTTCTAAAATCTTAAGTTTCTTTTATCGTTCCAAAATTTCTTCCTACCTCTACTCCTTTTTCTGTGAGTTTGTTATTTGAATTCTTCGTCTCTGCTGAGACAGATAGATTCAATAAATATATCTATAAATTGTTGTTTACACTTATGGGAGGTTTGGAGAATTGAATTTTCTGCTTTGCATGTACAACCCACTCTTCATTTGATTCCTTTTTTTAAAAAAGATTTTGGAAAATTTTTTTTCGACATTAAGCATACTAGTTTGCAAAATTTGAGATGTTTACTTTCTAATATGTTGCTCTATGTGGGCTTTACTTGAACATTTATAGTTTTATCATGCTGGAGTAAGTGAATTTAGATCAACTTACCTGTATGGATAGTTTTATGTTATGTGAAGGTATTTTTTCAAGGACTGGTTTTAGTCGTGAAATTAGGAATGCGTGTGGGTGTTAACCTCCTTATTACCTCTACTTGTTTCTCTGTGTGTTTGATATGACTATGCATTGTTGTTTATAGTTAAAGGGGGTTTATAGGAATGGATTTTGTGACCTGCTTGTGCAGTTCACTATTTTTTAATGCATTTTTTCTTAGAAAGAGTTTGAAAAAATTTGACCGAGGGCATAATTTTTGTGGACTAGTTTCTAATTCATGGTACGGGATTCCCTAAAATTGGTTATATTTATGTTCAGTTAGGGTTTATAAATGAAGGTGGCTATTAGCACTTTTGTGTTTTGTAGAGAATGAGTTGGTAGAGATATGTTTTTCTTTCTTGAACTCAATTGGTTATATTGGTGTTCAGGTTTGAGTATTGTAGTGAAGTTGGTTGTTAACACTTTTGTGCCATGTGGAGAAAGAATGGGGGAATGTGGATTACTTTCTTGAATTCATTTGGTTGTATTGGTGCTTGAGCTTGGATTTTATAATGATGTTGGTTATCAAAAATAGTGTGCAATGTGGAGAAAAGATTGTTGGGGATGCATATTGTTTTCTTGGATTTAGTTGGTTACATTGGTGCATCCATTCAAGTTTTATAATGTTGGCTATTCTC